AGCTGCAGGAGAGGAGGGGGTCCAGGGAACTGAGAATAACTCCTGAAGATATGTAGTCGATTGGAGCCAACTACTTAAGTAACCTGTGTGAAATACAAAGAATTGTGAACTGTAGGATGTGGTTACTTGAGGCCTACTGGTGTTTTCCACATGGAACCGATGATCAGATTTATGCTTAGAAAGGACATATAAAATGAATCCTTTTAGTAGAAAGAGATGCATCTTGAGATTTTATGAATGTGGGTTTATTTTTTGTTTGAGTTTTTCTTTTTTTTTTGGTTTTTTTTTGTTAGTTTTTATTTCATTAAGCCAGGAAAATATATTAATGAGGCTCGAGATTTACCTTCTTTGCCTTCTGCTTTGTCTGGTTAGAGTGTTCTCCTTTTCATTCCTTATAATATTTAGTTGTCAGGAACATTGGGAAATGAGATTGACAATCCCTTGCCAAAGTTTGGGAAGTAAAAAGGAGGAAAAAAATTATCTAGCATTTTTAAGAAGCCTAGAGGCACTAAAATTGATTAGAAAAGGACTCATAAATTGTGGTTTTTGTAGCTAGAGAATATAAAACATACCATCTATAAAGAAAATAGTTTAATTTGAAACAAAAGTAAAAATTAAGCTTATAAGGATTTTCTCTCTTTCACTTGATACACTGACCCACCGGACAGCTCTTCAGATGGAATAGAGAATACTAGAAGAAACCTTGGCTCCCTGATTCTGAAATTATCACCTGTATGTTATCCTAACTTCTCTAGGTCCTAGTGACCTCCCTGGTGGTCTCTCTTTCTCCAGTTTTTGCCCCTCTGCTGCATTCTGCCCCCCTTCTTAAAAGCCCAATTTCTTACAGGAAAAAGTGGATGGGGCACTATTCTATGCTGACCCTCCACCTACAACACTAGCTTTTTTTCCTGCCTCCCTGGACTCTTCATCATACTGCAATTGTGCCATGTGCTTTTTTGTACTCGTGGCTTGACTTGTAATATTTTCTTCTCCTTGGTGTGTCATGCCCTCAGCCTTGCCCTGCTTAGCAAATATTGTATCTACCTCTAAAATTCCTTTCCAGACTTACAGGAAGAATTTATTGCATCTTTCTCTGTTCCTTCATGGCATTTTGTTTATACTGCTAATATACAGCATTTAGTTACTTGCTTATATTCAGCCTAGTGACCACAAGAGGATTTGGGACATTGCCTAAGAAAAGCACATACATTATAACAAAACTGTTAACACAGGATTGAAGGAATTTAAATAAGAAACCTTGACTGGGGAAACCTGTGGCATCGGGATATAAAAGTTAGCTGTGAGCTTTCTAACTACCAGGGCAAAAAGAGAAACATTAGGAATTACATGGCTCTTATTTCAATTGTTAGATCTATCAGGTGTTAAAAGAAAAACATAAGATAATTTAAATATAACAGAGTTTACTTGAGCAAAGAACTGATTCACCAGTTGAGCAGCCCCCAGAACCAGAGTGGGTTCAGAGTGACTCCGGGGCTGCCACATGGTTGAATAATATTTATGGATAGAAAAAAGAAAATAAGATACAGAAGAGCAAAGTGAGGTACATAAACAGCTAGATTGGTTACAGCTTGGCGTTTGCCTTGTTTGAACACTGTTTGAACAGTTGGCCATCTGTGATTGGCTGAAACTCCCCTTACAATCTGTTTACACATCCAGTTAGGTTATAGTTCACTGTGTATGGAGAAACCTTTAGGCTGAACCTTTAAAATATGTAAGGAGGCAGCTTTAAGCTACACTTAATTTAACACAGGAAAAGGGAGACTGTTTCTTGGCCTGAGCCCAGAAATGAATTTTTCATAAGGTATTTACATAACTATAAGAGGACTTTCTTTAACAATAAAGAATTAGTTGTCTCTCACAACGAAGATGGCTCTAGAATTAGCTGATTGTGGACTAATCATCAGCAATATTATTAAAGACCCAGGTTCTTTCTATTCTATCCCTTAGTATTATACATTAACCATATCTGCAGGTTACCTCCCCTCATCAACAAAAAGTAGTTTTAGGCATTATAGTTCATGGCATTGTCAGTGACAGACGAGTAATCTTCTTTTTCCTTATTTCTTTCTTAAGATCAAGGTAAATGTTTTCTAGAAATCATTTCATCAGACTTCCCCTCATGTCTAATTGGCCAGAATTCCTTAAACATGCCCCTGCTGAAAGCAACCATTGACCAAGGGAATAGGACCTTCATGACTGCTTATTGAGCCACTGGCACTGGGGCTGGAATCAGCTTTTTCTGAAGCATAGGGTGGCGTGGAAGAAGAGGATAACCAGACAGCTTCAGGGTTCAGTTAGGAAGGAGGCTGATTATATAAGCAACCAAAGTGTCCACTACAAAGACCAGCTGAATAATGTTGTCAGTTTTGTTTTACCTGAAGCAATCCATAAATAGTTCTGTATATTATTAGCCTAGCTGAGAGCCAGTTACATAGCATTAAAAAAAAATCATTGTAAAAATCAGTTTCATGGGTAGGAAGCACCTTTGGTGGTTTGGCCTGTGGGACTGTTGTCCCACAACATTCGTATCAACGTTAGGGAGGAAGTGATGAGAAAGCATTACAGAGGAACCTGTGAGAAATGCAGATTCTCAGGCCCCACCCAGACCTACTGAATTAGAAACTCTGGGTGTGGGGCCAGCAATCTGTATTGTAAAACAAAGCCCTTCCAGTCACTCAGATGCAAGCTCAAGTTTGAGAATCACTGATATTAGACATCAAGAACGTGACCTGAATATTTGCCTTTGCCACCAGCTATCCCACCTTTGCTCATGGAAGACTTCCAGGTAGAATGGGACAAGGCTTTTATCAGACAGTTGCTCTGGTTCTGTCCAGGCGCTAAAGTAAGGGCAAATTTTAAGGATTCAAATTTGATACTCTGAAGTAGGGAAAAGTTCATTTAGGCTAGGAAAATTTTGAAGGCAAATGCTCTTTATCAGTGTTTCCATGAATGTAAATTCAGCCTTACTTTTCTCATCTGTAAAATGGCTAAATTACTTAGGGCACAGAGTTTGTATAGATTAAATGAAAAGTGTTATTGCAAGTACCTTTTAAAGCAGAAATGATTATAAAGGTCCGTGTTTCATTGCTTGTTGGTTGTGTTGGGCTGGTTTGAGTTTCTTGTTGAGAAAGATTCTGATTTAGCATGCTAGAGTGCCTGGATCTATCCAGCTATTTCTGCTGTGCGCGTGGAATGGAGTGGTTGCTTTATATTCACATCAATTGTTCCTATTTTAAAACTCTTGTTACTGTTATATTACTATTACTATTATTACAGTCCTAGTGTACACATTTTATCATATTAAAAACCTATTAATTCTCACATTCCCTTTGTGTAAAACATGAATTTTTGCCTATCTTTATTCTTTGTCAATAATATGAGATGTGACTTTTAATTGGAAATTTTCCTGCAGGAGAGCATTTCAGCTTTGGTCTTTTCAATCCAATTTTTTTTTTTTTTTTTTAAATTTTCACTTTCCACCTTCCAAAGACTCAAATAAATGCAATTCAGAATTGCAAAGCAAAAATGTTCTGCTTTTTGGCTAGTTTTTGATCAAAGAAAGAAACAAAATACATATTTTTTATATATGCATCCAGAATATGCTCCGTTATTAGTGTGATGAATCTTTTAACTCAGGGAAGGCAGAATAGAGAGTTTTCATTATACAAGTAAGTTAATGGATTTTGGAATGTGGTGGAAGAATTCGATGCAAAATAAAGCATGCTTCCTTAGAGATCCATATGCACTGCAGTTAGAATTCAAGTCTCCAACAGGCGTAAAATGGCTAGTGTGAAAGAATCCCATCTTATTATTCAGTTCTAAAATACAAACTGGGATGTAGACCTTTTCAAAGCAATTCACTTTATTAAATAGCTTTTGGGTTGATATAATAATACAGTTTTTACTTTGTACCAGAGTCCATTGGCCACCTGCTTTGTGACATTGCAGCTCTGAAAAGTCAAGGCCATACAGTGAGTTAGGGGTTGAGTTCTTGGTTTTTTTCAGGACTTCTTTCTCGCCTAAGATTCTGTCTCCTTTACCCCACCAGTGGGCACTAACTGGGACAAAATCAGTTGCTCCATCCATTATTTTTTTATTTTTGAATGATGGGAAATAGGGGCGAGGGACTCCCATGTCCACTGCAGGAATGCATCTGATCACATTTTCTGGTATCAGAACTTGTCTGAGTCAGGAATTGCTCTTCACCTGTACTTGCTACAAAACATAAGAGAAACCAAGCTTTCTTTGCCACAGTTCATTGGTTAGGAACCTATGACACCGATGAATTACTGAAGTCTTCTGTTCTAAATTAGGAAACAGTAGATTTGTTCCATCACTTTGATTCACTAGACAAGGTTCATTTCTGGTCTGCCTGGAACCTGTGTTAATTGAATAGGAAACTGTGTTTCTGTTATCTCTGCTAATGGTGAAGAGCAGTGATGCAGATAATCAAAATAAAATGATTTATAACTGTCCCGAAGGTGCAAGTGCTATCAGGGACAAGTTCTTCATAGCACAGTAATGTCATTTGGAGCACAAAGTAGATTGTTACATAATTAATAGTGTTTTCGTGATGTTACTATTTAAATTATTGCATGCATAATAATCTGTAGACATGCAATAATTAGGAGAAAAGCAGTAGTAATTTGAAGTGTTTGTATCATTTTTTGAAAGATATAAAGGGCATAAATGCCTTGCTTTGTGGAGTGGTGTTTGGTTCGAAAGTTGCCTATAAATAAATTTCTTACCACTTAGTATCTTAAATACCTAAGTAAAAGGCTCTAAAATTTTTTGGTGTGGCCCTTTTTAAATGAAATACCTTTTCATACTTAAAAAAATTTTTTTTAATTGTACATCTAATTTATCTAGTCTTTCCCTCACATTTTGTTGTATAGAAGCATTCATGTTCTTAGTGATTTTGAGGGCTTGTTTTTAATTATGTTATAGACACTTTTATTTAAAACATTTTTTTAAAATTATTATAGCTGTATGTTGATGTCTCATCTTGAGGAACCAAAAGTAACAGAAGATGAAGAACCACCCACAGAACAAGATAAGAGGAAAAAGATGGTAAGTTATAAAGTTTGCTTCTAAAAATTAAGCAGAACTGTGTATCATCATTATTTTCTACAGGTTCGAAAATACCTGTCAATCCATTTGTCCATCCATCTATATACATCTCTACCCATCTATCCCTTCTTGCAAGATACCTTGTAAGGTATCTGAGTTTTGAAATTTGGAGTGTACCCTAAAACAGATAAATTGTATTCCTAGTACAGGAAGTTGAGGTTAACTGTTGATCTGACATAATCGTTGCCTGGCTTAGCAGAACAGAGGATTTACTTTTACTTATAGAAAACATGTGACCTGCAAACCTTATTTAAGTTGAAATGCTTATTCTTCTATTTTGAGAAAATATACTGAAATTGCCTGCATTCTTATTATTTCACAGATCTTCACAATGAATTTTTTCTGATATGCATCACAGGTTTTTATAAAAGTGCCCTTAAATTAACTGCTAACCTGCTTTGAAAACGATTAATTCTCTTTTTTTTTTTTTTTGAAAACCATTCATTCTCACTAGAGGAATCTGATAAAAAAGAAAAAAATAGGAAACATCTAAAATATCTTGCTTTTAAAAATTACTTATAATCTTGAATTTTTAAATACTTTGATCATGAACATGAAATAAGTATGTAATAAACGTTTTTTCTCTTTTCTTTTGTAATCTCTCCTAGTCTTCTGGCCTCATCATTTACTAACTTCATTGTACCTTCTTTCCTCATTGCAAAATGAAAAACAACAATGTCTACTTCATAGAATAAATAAATATATAAAATGGTTATGGGTTAATACTGGATACCTAGTAATTATTATGTGTTAGCTATCATTATTTTAATCTGATCGTTATATTCACTCCTTGAATTATCCCGTGTTAACCCTCAAGGGCTTCATCCTGAGGTTATTTAATACTGCACTGCTCTGATGACCTTCTTTTAAACTGTGTTTGAGTTTAATTTGTGTTACTTTACTTTTATGCTAGATATCATCTCCCTAGCAGATAATATACAGGAAAGGAAAACATCCAAGGATTCTTAAGACCTGAGTTCTAGTTACATTTGTTCCATTATTTGTGGCCTTGAGCAAGTCATCTTGTCTTTCTAGAACCGTTTTGCCTCATCTGTGAAAAGATGGGGAAATTGGATTAGTGGATTTCCAGGGCCTGTGAACTGAAAAATTATTTGATTTGGTTTTTCTTTAACCTCTTAATACTATTCCTTTTCTTCCCCAATATATAGTGTTTTGTGAATATAGTGAGTCCTCAATGTCATGGATAGGTTCTTGGAAACTGCAGCTTTAAGTGAAACAACATATGACAAACCAATTTTACCATAGGCTAATTGAAATAAACAAGAGTTAAGTTCCAGTAGCATATTTCTTGTCACAGAAGCATCACCACGCTTTTAAATAAGGACCCAAAACACTTCTAATAGTAGACAATGAAATAAATGTGAGCTATATGTACATTTAAAAAGGTTTAATTAAAAACAGGTAAGATAATTATTTACTCACCTTTTGTTGAATCAGTGAGTGATGGAAGTCATGGTGGTGGGTTAAATCAAGAAATAAATGTTTGCAAAGCAAAAATTTGTAAGGAGCACCTCCGACCTCTACAAAGTTCAGAAACAAGTAAGAACAAGTCTGACGGGCTGGCTGAAGGCTTCCAAAGAGCATCATTTATTGCCGTGTGTTTGTGTGATTCTCATATACTTTACAAATTTTTATTTGACTATAATTTGCCTTTATTCATTTATTTTAAAAACAACTTATTCCAGTTCAGGGTGGTAAGTGGCCAGAGCCTATCCCAGCAGCTTAGGGCACAAGGTGGGAACCAGCCCTGGACAGGACGCCATTCCCTCTCGGCGCACTCACACACCCACACTCACTCACAGGGGGACAGTTTAGACAGGCCAATTCACCTAACTTGCACAGCTTTGGGATGTGGGAGGAAACTGGAGTACCTGGAGAAAACCCATGCAGACATGGGGAGAATCTGCAAATTTCACGGACAGTGGTCCCGGCTGGCAGTGGATTCCCACCCCCACCCCATCATCAGCATTACAACAAAATGACAGCGAATGAAATGATGTTATGCAAGGACTTACGGTCATGTGCTACATAACAGTGTTTCAGTTAACAACAAACCCTATATATTAACACAGATGGTGGTCCCATAAGATTTTAATACCATATTTTTTACTATATTTTTTATATGTTTAGATACACAAATATTTACCATTGTGTTACATGGTGTTCAGTACAGTAACATTCTATATGGTTATGTAGCCTAGGAACAGTAGGCAATACCACATACCCTAGGTATGTAGTAGGTGAAGGTTTGTGTAAGTACGCTCTATGATGTTCACACGACAAGGAAACTGCCTTAGGATGCATTTCTCAAAATGTATTCTTGCTTTTAAGTGACGAGTGACTATATACCTACAGAAGTATTTCTCCCTTGAAATTAATCAGTGATGTGGTATCCTAAATACATGGAAAGTGTATTTTCTTCACTTACAGTGATGATAGTTTCTAGGTGTGATCTAACAGTTTGTCCTCCCCCACCACACACACTTTTTAAAGCATTGATTATATCATTGGTGTTATAGAAAATATAACATTTTTCTTCACAAGATTCTGAACTTGTAAATAAGTATTCAGTCATCAGCTTTTATGCATACTTTATTAATGTCACTTAGTCTGGTAGATTTACCCTTAGCAAATTAACCAACCCAAATCTGTTTTTCATTCTGTATATAATCCTCAGTAGAATTATGTAATAGTTTAATTCTAACTTTGCTTTCAAGGTAAGTGAAACATTTTCTCAAAGATCAATATAAGAACATAGTTTTAGAAATAGTACTCAAAGTTCCATGGTTCACTTTTGTGATCCTGAATTTTATTTGAGAGCTGGTTATTTTCTCTTTATCAGTCTAATTATATGTGGTATTGATTTATAGAACAATCATTTTTTAAGTGGCTGATTTTATTTGAAGTTATTCATTATAGTAGCTATTTGATATGGATTTATATTGACATCTCTACTAAGATTTTCAGTGCCGTAGTCTTAATGGATATGCTGAAGACACCGTATCAGTTTTTAATTGAAGCTGGGATTATATATCTTAACCTTGAATAAATTTAATTATGAATACAATACTAACTTTCTAATAACTTTAAACAAAATTAGTTTCACTTGTCTCTTCAAAGTTACAAATATAAATTATGTATTTTTTTCAGTAATTATGTCATCATTCTTGTACTGTGATGTCTTTAGCATTAGAAATTTTTTGAGAACTTTCTAGGAGTATCTTGGTTGTTATATCTTGGGGAAATGTTTGATAGATGGTTATGTATTCTGTTTTTTTTAAACCAAAATCAGCAAAGGTTTTTCTCATTTTATTAATAAAATGAAATTATTTACTAGGAAGAAAAAATATAGGTGCTTAGTTCCAAAGTCACATAAATAAAAATTTGATTTACTTACTGTTATTGTTGTCTTAAAGTAGTCCTTGAAATGTGGTGTTTCTGTTTCAGTTAGCTGCTTTGGTAGAGGATAGCAGTGGTGATTGTAGTTCAGAAAAACAGATGATTAATATTATATCAAATGTGCTGAATTATTTTCCATGGGTTTCTAAGAATTCTCTATGTTTTATCTTAAATAGGGATGAAATTTTCATTCAGGAAAGCTATTAAGCTGTCCAGACTTTTGATCTCCTTTTTTATCCAGCCTCTCTCTGTAGCTTTCATTTTGGGGGAAAAATACTTTAGAAAATCAAATGCAGCTCAAACACTTCATTTAATATCTAAGTTCCCTCTCTGTCCAGTATATTCTAATAGTTAGAACATTAATTTCACAACCTTTTCTATAAAGAATTAAGATATTATGTTACCATCTTAAGTTGTTTGTAATTTCTTTTTTGTGACATATGACTGACTTACAGGCATTTATAAGTTGTAGTTTCCAAATTCTACTTTCAAGCATATTTATACTTTCTAGCAACTTTATGGCACCTGCTAACAAAGTATTATTTTTTATATTATTTAATTGACAAAAATTGTATATATTTATGGTATACAATGTGATGCTTTGAAATATGTATGCATTGTGGGATGACTAAATCAAGCTAATTATGTATTACTTCACATACTTATCATTTATTTATGATAAGGACACTTAAAATGTGTATAATACATTATCGGTTCTAGTCACCGTGTTGAACTTATTCCTTCTAACTGAAATTTTGTATGCTTTGACCAATTTCTTTCCAATTCTCCCCTCCAAGAAAGTATTATTAATGAAACATTTGATAATGAGGTACTTCTGATCATTCTTTCCTACTACATCTGTCATCTCCAAGTGTCCATGGGAGATTGGTTCCAGGACTTAAATCATCTCTAGATTACTTATAATACCTAATGCCATGTAGATGCTATGTAAATAGTTGTTATACTATATTGTTTAGGGACTAATGACAAGATAAAATAGTCAGTACGTGTTTAGTACAGGCACTTTCTTTTTTTTTTTTTTTTTTTTAATAAATAACATATTTTCAGTTCTTGGTTGAGTTCACAGCTGCAGAACCCATGGACATGGAAAGCCAACTGTTTTTCTCAATTTATGCCCTCATATTTAGATAATCTGCTTTAAATAATAATCTAGTTTAATATAGACTCACTAGTTGCTTTAATTGATAATGGCATAATGGCAGCATAAATAACTTTGAACATTGTTAAAGCTACCTAGCTTCTCACCCACTTGTGCTTATAGAAGCAGTAATACAAATAATGCAGAACAGTGTGTCCAAACATTGATTTGGCTTTGAAATAGTAGTAATACCTTGGATATATAAAATGTTATCTATTTTCCCAAAGCATTTTTTTACAGTCTCATTTATCCCTATAACATTTTGGTGACCATATATAAGTAAGGAAACCAAGGCACAGAGAAGTCATCTCTTGCTCAGAGTCATAGATTTAGGTAAAGACCAAATTAGAGCCAAGCTTGA